CTGCCTTGGATAGACCAGAGAAGATAATGGGGCAGTATTCTAGATGCGGTTTGACGTGGGATACATAGGCACTTAGTATGCTGTTCCTTAATTTAAGGGATTTTGTAATCATGTCAATTATCTGCCTTGCTTTAGCTGTTTGTAATGAAACCATGTGGCGGCATATTTGTCTTCTAACTAGGCGCTCTAAACACTTACATATTACCGATGCCAAACTTACGGGTCTGTAATTCTCTGCTTTTTGCCGGGATACAGACTTGGGTATCGTCACTACTGTGGCTTTGCGTCCGTTGTTCGGGACAGTTCCCAGTCTAAGCGACTCTTGAAATAACTCGATGATCAGCCCTGCTATGACGTCAGCCAGCGGTTGCACAATCGCTTGGTGAATTCCGTCCTGCCCCGCCGCTTTGAACCTATTTAGCCCTGCTAACTCCCGCCGAACATCCTAAATTTCCACAATGATTGAGGGCATCGTGCAGTTACCTTCAATTGATGAAAGGCTATATGTCACCCTTGGGATCCTGCACGTGCTTCTGAAGAACCGTAACAGGATGCGTGCTCTATCGCCTTCACTCACTACTAACTCTCCGGTTGACGATTCCAGAGTACCAACCGTTTCCCGAGTGTTGCGCTTAGATTGAACATAAGCGTAAAAACACTTGGGATTTCGCTTGACGTTTTGCGCCAAGTTTCTCTCAAATCGGTACTTGGCCTCTCTTTGCACTTTCTGTGCATAGCTGCGCTCTTGTTTGTAACCATTCCACGACTGATGGGTGCCATACAGTTTATAGACTGCCCACCGTCTTCTACGAATGGCTATGGCCTTATCTCTATTTGCTTTCCACCAGGGAGGCCGTTGCTTCCTTCCTAACGGAAACAAAGGCGCAAACCTATCCCTAAGTAGAAGTCCGGTCTTTATATGGTTCCATCTTTTTTCTAGAGATTCATCAGCTGTTTTGGGTATCCAGTTTATATCTTGCACCTCTCTGGCCAGTTCTTCTTGGTTGATTTTACCATATCGCCTCCCTAGTTTGGCCGCTAGTTTGGTGCGTCTGCTTTCTAGCGTTAGTCGCAAGACCACATGATTACTTTTCCTCAGGGGCTTCTTGTGGATTATTGTCCTTATGTCTCCAGGGGATCTGGTGATCACCAGATCCAGTATGGGCGGCCTGGCATTTGCTCTAAATCGGGTGGCTTGATGCATGTTTTGTGTTAATGCGTGCTGAGGTAGCCACTCTAAAAGCAGTCTTCCCCCGGTACCTGCTGATGCTCTGTCTCCACTCCAGTTGATCTCTGGCATGTTGAAGTCACCAACTAACAACAGCCTTCTGGGCGTGGCACGAAATAATTGCACCTGAGCAATCAATTCCTGATCTTCTGTCTCAGTCACCTGCGGAGCCCGGTAGACGCACATGATGTTCTATGTGGCACTGTCTATTTTAACTACGTAACTGATGGTTTGTACGTTGGGAGTCGCTAGCGGTGCTGCTACCTCCCACTGCGTGTGATCTGATTTTATCATTATCATAACCCCGCCTCCCTGCCTACCATCCACCCTATCTTGTCTATAAATTGTGGAGTCATTCATCTCCGGGGTGATATGGCGCTTCCGCATCCAGGATTCAGTTATGGTCACTATGTCTATACCTGGGATGCGCCATCGCACCTCTCCCCACTTATCCCATATACTGCAGGCATTGGTGTACGACAGTGAGACTGTGTCGGTTTGCGCATGCCTGCTGGGTCGGGAGCTCATTTCTGGAGGATTCTCGAGCGTAATGCCCGAGGAGTTACCCCGTTTCTTTCTTTTCGGGGTGGGTGGGTGG